CGCGGGGGTTTGTTTGTGTTTGGCCTCAGCCTTCCTCAGCGCCTTCTGGAGCTCGAAGAGGGCCTCCGCTCTTTGTGTTTTCTGTCGGGTTGCTAGTTTGATAAGGGTACCCCGTATGACCGTCTTGTGGGCGGCCCAGATCGTGGATTGTGCTAAGTCCGGCGTATCGTTTGTGGTGAAATAGGCTGTCAGTTCGCCATGGATAAGTTTGGTCACCTCTGGGTCTTTTATGAGTGTGCTGTTTAACCGCCACCTCCATGGAGGTTTGGGCCCCGGAAGTCTCAGTGTGAGCTCTATGTCTGCATGGTCCGACCACGTAATGAGGTCGGCGTCGAGTTAAAGTCGCCCCCCAACACCACAACCCCCCAGGGCAAGGCGTGGATTGAGTCGTGTAATGTCTCCCAAAATTATGGGTCTGGTTGATTGGGGGCATAAATGTTAATCAGGTGGTATCTGGTAGTGTATATGGTCCCTGTGAGGATAATATACCGGCCCATGGTATCAGTCAGTGTTGTGTGGGCGATAAACGGGCACTTTTTGTGCTGGAGTATTTCTACGTCATTTTTCTTAATAAGAGCCCTGGAGTAGTGTGACCTGGTGTATGTGTGATCCGTTAGCTGAACACGGGCTGAGCGCAGGAGATGTGATTCTTGCACAAAGGCGATATCCGCCTTTTGGCGTTTTAGTTCCCTCATTAATAGTCGTCTTTTGTTCAGGTTATTAAGGCCATTGACGTTTAGGGATGTAATTTTGAGTGTGGCCATGTTTGTTTCTAGTTTTGACTGTCTCGTGCTTGTCAGGGCCAAGCCCAGGCCGCCGCGCGTCTCTCCAAGAAGTGACTCTGAGGAGGGAAGGTGGGGGGAACTCTTGGAAGGGTAGGGAATGGGCCGGCAGGGTCCCCAGATGGGAGCCCGACTGTGGTTCCCTGGCAGTTCCCTCTATTTGAGGGGAGTCAGGTGAATGCTCCTATGGGCCACTGGCCCTGTCTCTGGGCTGGGGAGGGGTGAGGTGGGATAGCACTATGGGTGCTAGGGGAAGGCTGGTGGGGGGGTAGGGGAAGGAAGGTACCCTTACGAATCGGGGTCTTAGTTGTGCCGGTTGTATCAGGGGATGACAGTCCACTCCGCGAAAGAGTTTCTATACACGGAGGGGACAACCAGTCGCCGAGCACCCCAGCACTAATCCGAATTATAAATGCAGCAAGTACTTTAACTGCTATTCCCTGCAAAATCCCTTGGTCTGTGCGTCCTCCTGTGTTAAATCACATATATGAGTAGGTAACAACATTATATACATAACAGGCATTATCAAGCAAATCAACATAGATGTGGTTAAAACATTTCCAATACCCAGTTCCCAAACGCCAACAGTTCTGGTAATCTCTTAGGTAACTACATAGTTTAAGTTTCATGAGAGGGCTAGAGTCCCATTGAGTTCCAACTGCCCGGGTCTCTAGAGAGTCTATGAACCCTGGTGTCCCCCAACATCGGTTTGTCCTCTTATGTCACAGCCGGAGGCCTCCAGGAGGGGATGAGGGGGTATACACTTGCGTGTCTGGCTGTGCTTGTGGGGTACCCCGCCGTCCAGTTCATGTGTTGTCTGCATCTGCCACAGGTTAGAAGCCTGAACCTCTTTCCTTCCCCCACGGTGTCTCTGTGTCCAAAGCCAGGTGGCATATTCAGCGTTCATAGCTGTTCATAAAGTTCCATATGTTTGGCAGTCTGTCATATCTTGGCCCGTTCTTTGTCTTGCCCTCTAGATCCGGCTCCGGCTGCTCAGCTGATCTCTTTGTTGTTGTTTTTTGCTGTTTTTCCTCTTTCTAGTTCGTTTTGAGTCTGATGTTGTTGTTCATTTTGCTTTGGATGTTTTCTTTCTGGTTTTTGCGTTTTGTCTTTTCGTTCTTTTCGTTCCTTGTCAGTTTTGTTTGTTGTTCTTTTTGTATGTGGTGGGATTCTGATTCTCCGGCATTTAGGCGGTATGGTTTGGGTCTTGGATATTCGAGTTGTGTTGTTACCTTCCAAAGAGAGGAGGGGCCTATGCCTGGCCCTCAGGGGTCACCTCTGTCTTGCGCCGCTCCTTCTCTGGGCAGTTGCCCCAATGCTCTGGTGCCCCTTTGGGGAGAGTCTAAAGTCGTCTGGGACTTCAATACCTATGTCTTGTAGGACCAGGTCAGCAATGAGCTTCCACTCCCGACTCCTGGCTAACGTGGCTGGCGCGATATCCTGATATAGGTGTATGGTAGAGCCCTCGACAGTGTAGGTGTGGTGCCGTGTGCTTTTAATAATGGCTTCCTTGGTGGTTTCTCTTGTTCCCTGGTGTTTTGGGATCCCGGGGAGCCCGTACTCACGTGTCCGCCGCCATCTTTGGCCGCCTGTGGCCTTGGTGTAGTGAGCAGGTCGGCGACGGACGGGGCTCCCTCCCGCGGCTTTTTCCCGTTCTTCTTATGTGAAGCCATCACCGGGTCCTTCCCTCCGACAAAGTGAGAGCTGCAGGTGTGGTAGCAGGGGTGAGTTGCTCTATGCAAGGCGTTTTCGGATCGTCCGGGGCGCGGATCTCTCTGCCTAAGCAGTCATTTCTCTCGGCGGTCAGGCCACGCCCCCCGCATTTCTTTTTTAATAAAGGATATTTTTCATAAATATAGAGTTAAAATGATACAATTTATTTGCTAACAGAGTTTGAGAGCAAGCTTACAAGACCAAGTTGCTAGGTCCCTTACTCGGGGCATGAGTGCCCCTGAATAAAACAGTGATGTGGTCTGTGTGAGACACTCACACTGAGGCAGGGCTGGTGCTAGACTATTTTGCACCCTTGACAAGATCAGATACTTGCACCACCCCCAAAAAACAAAAATCGCCAGCTTTGCATGTCTCTCTGTCCCTCTTTGCCCCTCTGTGTGTATTTTTATCCCCCAATCTCCTGTATGTGTGTCTTTGTCTCTCTAAGCCCTTCTGTGTGCCTCTTTGCCCCCCTTTGCACCTCTGTGTTTCTGTCCCCCCAAGTTTGTTTCTTTCCCCCTGCGTGTCTTTGTCCCCACAGTCCCTTTGTCTCTTGTCCCTCCAAAGTCCCCCTGTTTGTCTCTTTGCCTCCCGCAGCTCCCTTTGTATGTCTCTTTGCCCCTCCGTGTATCTCTTTGTTCCCATGCCCTGTGTGCCTTTATATCCTCCCCAACTCTTCGGTGTGCCTCTTTGTTCAGCCAAGCCCCTCTGAGTATGCTCCTCATTGTCTCTTTGTCCCCGCCAACCCCTCTGTTTGTCTCTTTGCCCCCAAAACCTCTGTGTGTCACTTTGCCCCCTGTGTATCTCTTTGCCACCCCTGCCCCACTCTGTCTTTTTGTCCACCCTCAGTCCCCTGTATGTCTCTTTGTCCGTCCCCCCTTTTTGCTGTCTTCCTCCTTCTGCAGTGCCAGCTTACCTACTTGTAGCGTGGTCGAGTGAACTGTGGTGGAGAATCTCTGTATCCACTACTCGGTTTGGGAGCATAAAGAACATTCTCTACTGCAGTGCGCTTGGCCACGCTACATGACATGATTGGCAGACGGGGAGTGCATGGGACAGAGACACACTGGCTGTGCGTGGGTGGGAGAGAGAGACACACTGGCTGTGCACGGGTGGGAGTGAGAGATACACTGGCTGTGCACGGGTGGGAGAGAGAGACACACTGGTTGTGCAAAGGTGGGAGAGAGAGAAACACACACACTGGCTGTGTGTGGGTGGGAGAGAGAGACACACACACTGGCTGTGCGCGGGTAGGAGAGAGAGACACACACACTGGCTAAGCGTGGGAGAGAGAGAGACACACACTGGCTGTGCGTGGGTAGGAGAGAGAGACACACACTGGCTGTGCATGGGTGGGAGAGAGAGTGACACAGGCTGTGCGTGGGAGAGAGAGAGACACACTGGCTGTGCGTGGGTAGGAGAGAGAGACACACACTGGCTGTGCGTGGGTGGGAGAGAGAGAGAGACACTGGCTGTGTGTGGGTGGGAGAGAGAAAGAGACACTGGCTGTGCATGGGTGGGTGAGAGACACACACTGACTGTGCATGGGTGGGTGGGAGAGAGAGAGACACACACACACTGACTGTGCGTGGAGAGAGAGACACACTGGCTGTCGTAGGAGAGAGAGAGAAACACACACACTGGTTTGTGCGTGGGAGAGAGAGACACACACTGGCTATGGGTGGTAGAGAGACACTGGCTGTGCGTGGGTGGGAGAGAGAGAGACACTGGCTGTGCGTGGGTGGGAGAGAGAGACACACTGACTGCATGGGTGGGAGAGAGAGACACACTGAATGTGCGTGGGTGGGAGAGAGAGACACTGGCTGTGCGTGGGTGGGAGAGAGAGACTGGCTGTGCATGGGTGGGAGAGAGAGACACACTGACTGCATGGGTGGGAGAGAGAGAGAGACACACACACTGGCTGTGCGTGGGTGGGAGAGAGAGAGACACACACTGGCTGTGCGTGGGTGGGAGAGAGAGACACACTGGCTGTGCATGGGAGTGAGAGAGAAACACACACACTGACTGTGCGTGGGTGGGAGAGAGAGACACACACACTGGCTGTGCATGGGAGGGAGGGAGAGAGAGAGAGACACACTGACTGTGCGTGGGTGGGAGAGAGATACACACACACTGGCTGTGCGTGGGTAGGAGAGAGAGACACACACACTGTCTGTGCATGGGTGGGAAAGTGTCAGGATTACAGTATGATCCAGCACTTAGAATTGTGTAACGCAGAGGACTGATAGGTAACGTATACCGGACCTTAGAGTGGCCGAGAGAGACACTTGCTGTGCATGGGTGGGAGAGAGAGACACTGGCTGTACGTGGGTGGGAGAGAGAGACACACTGGCTGTGCATGGGTGGGAGAGAGAGACACACTGACTGTGCGTGGGTCGGAGAGAGAGACACTGTCTGTGGGTGGGTGGGAGAGAGAGACTGGCTGTGCGTGGGTGGGTGGGAGAGACACACACACTGGCTGTGCGTGGGTGGGTGGGAGAGAGACACACACACACTGGCTGTGCGTGGGTGGGAGACAGAGACACACACACTGGCTGTGCGTGGGAGGGAGAGAAAGACACACTGACTGTGCGTGGCTGGGAGAGAGAGAGACACACTGGCTGTGGGTGGGAGAGAAAGACACACACTGGCTGTGCGTGGGTAGGAGAGAGAGACACACACACTGGCTGTGCATGGGTGGGAGAGTGTCAGGATTAAAGTATGATCCAGTACGTAGAATTGTGTAACACAGAGGACTGATAGGTAACGTACCGGACCTTAGAATGGCCGGACTAATGTACCCAAGAATAGTCAGAAATACCCGAGGTCAAGGGATACAGAAAGAGACACAACGATAAGGAAAAGCCAGGGGTCAGGGATGTCAGAAAACAGGGAAGTCACTATCAATGCCAAAGTCAAATAACCAGAAAAAACAGAATCAATAACGCACTCTCGGACAACCACAAGTGAAACCACGACAGGGCACAGAGCAAGAGGAGAACTGGGCTTAAATACCCCGCCTGTGGATCTGATTGGTTGTAACTGGCCTTTGACCCCAAAAGCAGTTACCAGGTTCCTATTTGCATGATTGCTGCTCAGCACAAACCCTCCTGTGGATTCATTGCTGCTCAGCACAAACCCTCCTGTGGACTGATTGCTGCTCGGCACAATTTTTCCTATCAGGACAGTAAATGCCATTAATCACATTTTTATGTCCAGATGAATACGTGACATTACCCCTCACCTGAAGAACGCCCACTGGGCGGGCAGGACCAGGCTTGAGAGGAAACTTGGCATGAAAATATTGAATCTTGCAGCCAGCATGTATATCAGACGCCGGAACCCAGGAACGATCTGCTGGTCCATAACCTTTCCAATCCACCAAGTACTGTAAAGTCCCCCGAGAAAACATGGAATCAATTATGGAGACCTCATACTCTTCCTGTTTAGAAACAACTAAGGGAGGAGGAGGGACACTTGAGCCAGTATATTTTATTGCAAACAAGAGGTTTGAGTAAAGACACATGAAAGGTATTAGGAATTTTCAAGGAGGCCGGAAGGGCCAGAGAGTACACAACAGTATCGAGCCTACAAAAGAAAAGAGAAGGCCCAAGGAACCTAGGAGCAAATTTCATGCTAGGGACTTTGAGCTTGATGTTACGAGAAGATAACCAAACCCTCTCACCCACTTGGTAAACAGGGTTGGCACCTCTACGTGTATCAGCAGTACCCAGAGCAGATTGAACTTTAACCCAGGTATCACGGATGGAAGCCAGACAGTCATCCAAAGCAGGAATAGCCATATCAGAAAAAACAGCCGGTAGGACAGTAGGATGCCGGCCGTTATTAACAAAAAATGCCCAGAAAGCATTGTTCCTAGCAAACTCGGCCAATGGTAGTAATTGGGACCATTTGTTTTGAGTACTATTAACAAAACATCGCAAATATAATTCCAAGGACTGGTTAGCCCTCTCAGCTGTACCATTGGTCTGGGGGTGGTAAGAGGATGAAAAAGACAATTCAATCCCTAATTGTTTATTGAAGGCCCTCCAAAACCGGGACACGAACTGAGAACCTCTATCAGATACTATATTGTGAGGAATGCCAAGCAGACGGACAATTTCTCGTATAAAGATTAGTACCAGGTCTTGAGACGACGGCAATTTCTTCAGAGGAATAAAATGAGCCACAACCATGAGAATAGTGGTATAACCATTAGAATTAGGAAGTTCAACAATGAAGTCCATGGACAAGTGGGACCATGGGACCTCAGGAATAGGAAGAGGTTGCAACAAGTCACAAGGGAGTTTATGAGGCACTTTGGAAACTGCACAAACAGAACAAGCCTGCACATACTCCTTAACATCGTTCCTGAGGGAATCCCACCAGAATGACCTCATGATAGCAGAAGTGGACTTATTAATACCTGGGTGACCAGCAGACACATTGTCGTGAAACACCTTTATAATATTAACCCTTTCCCCCAATGGAACAAACAATTTGTCCTGAGGTTTACCGCAGGCCGTCTGAGACTGAGCCTCCACGATGGAGCCAAGCAGTGGAGAGGACAACGAAAGGACAGTGGACGCAATGATACTGTCTGGGGGAATGATATGGGACGTTTCTTGCTCTAGTATAACCTCAGTATCGAACTACAAAAAGAAATGTCCTGCGTTCACTCATCACTTCTGGGCAGAGCAATGACCACAGTACACATCAGCTCCAATACATATAGTAAAAACCAAAGAAAGAAGTTACCTGCACTCTTTCCTAAATCCCTGCTTATATTTAAACAAATGGAGGTCATTTAGTTACTCCAGAGGGAATGCACGTCTGCCAACGTCAAGGCAGACCCCCCTAGACGGGTCCTACTCTGACCCTTCACCTTGCTTCCTTGAGCTTCTGGCAAAGATATCTCTAATGAGACAGAAAGGGATATTTTTATACACACCCCTATATACTTATTAACCCTTAATAAGGAACACATGGGATGGGCAGCAACATTGTAACCTAGCTGTGTGATACAAAAAGTGAATACAAATACAAAAAGAGAAGTCCTGTGCTCACTCTCATCACTCCTGGGTCACATGAACGACCAAAGTACACATCAGCTCCAATACTTATAGTAAAAATCAAAGGAAAAAAGTTACCTGCGCTCTCTTCTTAATCCCTATGTATATTTAAACAAATGGAGGTCATTTAGTTAGTCAATGGCCACTGGAGGGAATGCCCGCCTGCCAACGTCAAGGCAGACCCCCCTAGACGGGCCCTACACTGACTATTCGCCTTGCTTCCTTGAGCTTCTGGCAAAGATATCTCCAATGAGACAGAAAGGGGTATTTTTTATATGCACCCCTATATACTTATTAACCCATAATAGGGAACACATGGGATGGGTGGCAGCATTGTAACCTAGCTGTGTGATACAAAAAGGGCCGTGAAACCCCAGGGAACACTGACAGCAATGTGGCTCCTGCACTGCAAGCAAGTACCTACTCTCTATGACCTGAAGCACCTTTCCTTACCACTGGACTGTATTCTGTCCCAGAGGGCGTAGGCTGAGTGAGGCTGTTAATTTTTCCCTCACCCATTCGTTTATTAGTTAAACCTTTGCCTTGTATAATCAGCTTTCTCATATACATGGTCCTGCTAGTTAAGAGAGTTAAGAGAGTTTGCTGATGTCTTACCGGGAGGCCTCCTAGGGGAATAACAATGACGGTTACTTGACAACATCAGTCTTGCTACTTTCCTTTTTTATTATTTTCATTTTTACTATTGTTCCTCTCTAGTTTAGATACTTTTCTCTATAAATAAGCAGAGACCTTAATCCAAGTCTAGACAAGCCTGCCTACTTATAATCACTCATACCAATGTGCATGTTATGTTTGCAATGCCATGTTACATGTAAGCTAAGTTTTATACTATGTTTGTGGCATGACAAGCTGGTATGTATCTTTTTGCACACCAAAAATAAAGAATGGAAAAAATTGCCTGAGAGTGAAAGGTGCAGATTGGTTGAGAATAGCTAGAACAAGTAAATAAACAAGTTAATCCCTTAAGGACAGCGGGCGTACTATGCGGTCCTTAAGGAAGCAGCCTAAATGCTGCAGGGCGGCATAGAACGCTTATCCGTCTGCTGCATGCTCTGCACTTACCTAGACTGGTAATCCATGACAATGCCAGTCGGGGGGAGACTGCCCGACAACCATGTAGTCCCCCTGCAGCACCTAAGCCTCTCTGGCCCTCCAGATTTCATGTGATCACGATAATCTGCCTAGAGGTGCCTGTTTTGTCAGGCAGTCCCCCGAAGTCCCAAAAATAAACAAAGACTTGCAAGAAGGTATTAAAGTATTTTATTAATGTATTATACATATACTGTATTTTATATATATATATATATATATACACACACACACACACTGTTGTTACTGTACTTTCATGTTTTCTCAAAATACACTTATGACATATGTATTACTATAATATATTAATTAAAAACTTGAATTCTTTAATAATATAAAATATATATATATATATATATATATATATATATATATACATATTTGTGTTCGGGGCTATTTCAGTAATAGTATGAATTAGCAAGTAAGTACATTACCATAATAAGCAAAAGCCGGTTGAGGTGTGCCGATACCGACGTGTGTGGTAGGCCTGTAAATAAGTGGGCCTACCTTAGATGGAATTAAATGGAGGGAGAGGAGGGTGGGCCAGAAGTATGTCTGGAACCAATTAGGTAAGTAGGTAAGAGGGGGAGTCCTTTTTAAAGGTACATAGCCCCTCCCACAACTACAGGCCCAGCCTTCCAACTTGTGTTCGGGACCATTTCAGGAATAGCATGAATTAGCAAGTAAGTACATTACCATAATAAGGAAACGTCAGTTGAGGTGTGCCGATACCAACGTGTGTCGTAGGCCTGTAAATAAGTGGGCAAAAGGAATGCCAATCTTGTAATACCAAAGATATTTATTACGAAAACACATGATATAATACTGGCATATTTATGATGACATCTTAACAAATGCTTTTCTTAATTCTTGTATAGGTTGAGGTATATAAACAGCATAAGCGGATGACTTCCAGCGGTCCAATATTTTGATTACATGGACCGGGCTGTCTTGGCTTGAGGCAGTGGATGCTGCCCCTATCCTGAATGAATGTCCTGAATATTTGGTGGCGTTTAAGCCGAGTCGTGTCAACAATAATCGTATGTACACCATGAATTTAGAGGTGGTAAGGGTGGCCCCCGTGCAGTGAAAGGAGAGGGAGTGAGGCTTGTGTATGTGTTGACATAAGACATGTGTCAAAAACTTTCACCGGGCACCATGAGTTGTTGGTGGGGTAGTAGTGTATAAGCACCTCTTGACCCATCTGGCTGGTCTTAGTTGAATGTAGGCTTAGCACGTAAATCTGTAGTTTGTACAGATTTGAGTACCGTAGGCAATGCTTAGAATTGTGTTGCCCTGTGACAGTGAATTCTCTGGGTCGGAGGAAGCCGTAGAAAGCCAAGTATATGGCGGTTTTAACACTTTAACAGTGTTTGTATGCGGTTCGAAAGGTGAAAGCCTGAAATACGCCTGAAATACGTTTGAAGAGATGTATATTGATAGGCCGCCTACGTTGTGGAGTAGGTCCATGGGATTTATGTGTACCCTTAAGGAGGGTTTTTATGGGGTAGGATGTGAGGAATCCTTGTTTGTTGGGATGAGCTGAGAACATGTGATGTTGAATGCCCGTGAGATATAACTTAATAGTGTTGTGTGACATTTTTAGTTTGATGTGGCAAAAGTTGTATTATCAAACCAGTTGGTAAGGTGGTGATCTGACATGAACTTTTGGTATAACCAGTAAGCTCTGTCATAAGCAGTGTGTATATTCTTTGAGAGGGCCAATTTTGCCAATTTCCTGCTGTGACTTAGCAACTCTTCTATTCCATGATTAATTCTTGGAGCGATCGTGGCTATCGGTGAGGCTGTTGGTAGGGACCTCCTGAACCCCTGTAATTGAAGACGAGATAACTGGTCAGCAGCTGTATTGTAAATGCCTGGTACGTGGTAACATACCAGATAAAATTGGTGACAGGCTGCCAACCACGTTAGTCGTCTGATGAATTTGTTTATGATGTGGTAAATTGCCAAATTGTCATAGAAACATCGAACCAGTCTGCCTGTCCATAAATGACCCCATGTTGCTGCTGCGGCTACAATGGGATATTCCTCAAAGAGTGCAGAGTTCTTATAGAACCCTTCGATCTGGCTTACTTCTTCCGTCCAAACTCTGTGGAAGCCTCTGCATCGGTCCATGGTGGGGGGCTCAACTGAAATTTCTGGGAGGAACATGCTCCTGCCATTCCAACTTGTCAGGAACAAGTTCCACATGTGTAAGTCTGCAGTGGCTTGTTGGTCAAGAGTGGTATGGTTGTGGTCGTCTGGGAGTGTAGGGAGAAGGCACAGGAGTCTTGATATGAATGATCTGCTTTGAGGTATAATACGCATGTCGAAATTCAGAGAGCCAATTAGTGACTGAAGCTCTCTCCTGTTACATGAGCCTATGCGTAGATGATGTTGAATGGTCTGTGTGATGTTCGTTATCTTGTCTTGTGGGAGCCTGGCTTTCATTGCTATGGAATCGAGTTGTATCCCCAAGAATTGAATGGCCGTGTCTGGTCCTTCAGTCTTTGTTGGAGATACTGGAACCCCTATAGATTTGAACAAGTGTACTGCTTTGTGTAAACTGCATGGGGGGGGGGGGGCTGAATTGATCTCTATAAACAGGAAATCATCCAGGTAATGAATGACGCTATGGCACCTAATGGTATTCAGGAGCAGCCAGCACAAGGTCTCCGCAAAAGTATCAAAGATCTTAGGACTACTCTTGGATCCGAAAGTGAGCCTTGTGAAAATGTAATACTGGCCCCTCCATTTGATTCCATGCAAGTGCCATAGCGACGGATGAATGGGGAGTAATTTGAAGGCATTCACAATATCAGTTTTGCTTAGCCAAACGCCTACCCCTGCTGAGATGATGGTAGCTATGGCGTCATTTATTTATTTATTTATTATTGCCTTTATATAGCGCCAACAGATTCTGTAGAGTGGATTTAACTATAAATAGGACAATTACAAATAAACTTACAGGAACAATAGGTTGAAGAGGACCCTGCTCAATTGAGCTTACATTCTATAGGAGGTGGGGTGTAAAACACATTAGGTCATCTATGGTAGTATATTGTAACGAAAATTCTTCTGACGGGATCAGGGAATTAAGGCTGGGTATCACCGAAGAATGTGGTGCTGACAGGTCTATTGTGAGCCTCTGTTTATGTGATGTTTTCCCTGTAACCAATCCAGTGGGATTTGTTCTCCAGCTAGAAAACGGGGGTTCGGTAAATGGACCTAGGACAAAGCCTTGATCTTGCTCTATCTGTAACAAAATGTCTACTGCTTCTGTTTCGTTTAGGGCGGTCTGAAGGTTTTTGGATTCCCATGTACCTCCCGGCATGTAGATGAGGCCAGTATTGAAACCTTGGGAGAACCCTGAGATCAAATACCAGGTGTGTTCATGGGTGCTTGGACAGTAGCCCTGCCAGAACATCAATATTCACAGAAGTTAAATTCGGCTTTACGTGCATTTTATTGGGGCACATTGCTTTTGCGTGTGCCCTGAAACAATGTGAGCATTCATGCAGCAGTCTGCAAGCACTATAGGCGCAAGCCCCAACATTGAAATTGTTACATATCTGGGACTTACCCAAGTACACGATTGGGCGATTCAGTTTGTCCCTGCCTTGTTTCTCAACCCTTTATGTGCTTGGGGTGGCAGTGGTTGGGGTATATTCCATTGAGACCAGGCAGAGGTTTGCCACGTGCATGGTAGCCGCCCATATGGCACAAACCGGGGACTTTAAGGAACAGCTCTGTATCCATTTGGCTTCAGCCCATTCTGGCGTTGTACTGGGCCAGAGTCGTTGCCGCCTTTGTTGAAAATAAACGGTGGTAGTTGTAAAATGACGAACCACCGTATTTGTTGCCCAGGTCCACCAGTTTGTGCATATACAAACCTGATTCTTCTCTTCTCTGCGGGTATACTGAGCACAGCACGTCCCTGTAAATGCCAAAGACGATTACACAATCTGGGATGGACAGTGTTTTACTGGCCTTAAGGACCACTTGGATATCACCATACGTATACGAGCGGTTCTCTGTGACATCCTGGGAGGCAATGAGAAGCAAGACGAGATTAATGTCTTTGCCCTCCAGGATGTCTTTCTTGAGGCTTGCTGGTACCATATGGGCTGGGTTAATGACTTGTGACCCTAAGATGGTGGGCGTATTACTATTACCGGGTTGGGAATGGGAAGCGGCCGGAATATCGATTGCTACGGGTTTCCAGTCTCTCGTTGATCTGCCCCATGGATGACACTAAAGAGGCGATCATGGTATGCAAATTGGCATTGCTCATGCCACTTGTGCCTTCCCCCCGCGTCTGAATTGTTAGTATTGGCTTGCATTAGCCTAAATAGTTCTGCTTTGCGGGCAGTAGCTAGAAAGGGTATGCTTCGCCTGCGTAATTCGTGGGATGGTCCACGATCTAATTGAAGATGGACTGTCGGTGTCCCCTTTTCGTGTAGGGGTGGCAGTTCTAGTTGGAGTACTTGGGATAGAAATGCCATCTCCTTCTTCTGGAAC